CCTGCACCAGGAGGCTGCCAGGCCCTCCTTGGGGGGGAACACGCTGTCCTGTCCCCCCAGACAGGGACAGACAGGGACAGACACACGGCCCTGCAGCAGGGAGGCCTCGGGCGAGGTTTGGGGGTGATGGGGCTGAGCTGTGGGATCGTGTTCCCCAAGGGTCACTTTCTCTCCTCACCTTCAACTTCCCCAAAGGGAACTTTCCACAGCAGAGCCCAGCTCAGCTCCCTCAGCCCGTGGGGCTCAGCACATCCCTGGGCACTGCTTGCTGTGTGGGTGCTGCCACCTGCTTTGTGCCTGGGATCACCCCAGCATTTGGGGCCAGGCTGTGGGAGCAGCACTGGAAATGCTCCCTGGGGAGCACCACTGCCCTGCAGCCAATGCACAGGGCTGGGTTTTGGATTTGGGATTTGGGATTTGGGATTTGGGATTTGGGATTTTGGATTTGTGATTTTGGATTTTGGGTTTGGGATTTTGGATTTGGGATTTTGGATTTTGGATTTTGGGTTTTGGGTTTTGGGTTTTGGATTTTGGATTTGGGATTTGGGATTTTGGGTTTTGAGTTTTGGATGTTGGATTTTGGATGTTGGATTTGGGATTTGGGATTTGGGATTTTGGATTTTGGAGTTTGGATTTTGGAGTTTGGATTTGAGATTTGGGATTTGAGATTTGGGATTTCGGGTTTTGGGTTTTGGATTTTGGATTTGGGATTTGGGATTTTGGGTTTTGAGTTTTGGATGTTGGATTTTGGATGTTGGATTTGGGATTTGGGATTTTGGATTTTGGAATTTGGATTTTGGAGTTTGGAGTTTGGATTTGAGATTTGGGATTTCGGGTTTTGGGTTTTGGGTTCTGGATTTTGGGTTTCCCACCCCACCAGGGCCGCAGCGAGCGCCGGCTCCAGCTGCACCAAAGCACCACAGCTTTCCAGGGCAGACCCAGCTCCGTGCAGCGCTTGCCGAGGCAGCAGGGCTGTGCTCAGCACGTGCAGGAGGATTTCCCTGTGCCTTGGAGCCCTGCCCGGAGCCTTTCCGTGACAGGGCTGCTCCGAGCTCCTGTCCCTGCAGCCGGGACTCAAACCCTGCTGCGCTCTGCCCCTTGTGCTTCTCTCTGCCGTCATGCGCCTCTCGGTTCCTCTTTTCACCCTCCAGACGTTTCCCCTTTCTCTTTCCTTTGGAATTTTTTTTAATTTCTGCCCCTGTCGCGTTTTGGGTTCGGGGGGTCTGGCGGCACCCGGGGCTCTGTCCCTGCCATGGGATGGGACCCTGGGGCTCTGTCCCTTCCCAGGTGGGTCTGGCAGTGCTGAGATCCAGGGAAAGCCTCTCCAAGGATTCCAGGAGTCCCATGAAACGCTTTCCACGGGGAATGGACGGGCTGGAGGTGTCTCCAGCAGGGAGAGCCCTCACTCCCTGCACAGGCAGCCTCACCCTTCCCTAAAGCTGCTCCGAAACCCCCTGAGAGGGAGAAACTGCCGTGAACTCGAGCGGCTCCGAACAAAGCCCAGCGTTTCCAGTTGTGCTCTGCACCTCTGGGCATTTTTGGAGGTGTCCTCAGGTGCTCCATAACCTTTGCATGAATGGCTCCTTTTCTCTGCATAAGCACATTCTTGCAGGAGCGTTGGGCTTTCATTCTGCTCTGCCCCAGCCCTCGGACTCCTCTGTTCACTTGTTTAAATCAAGCATAAAGCTCTAACTGTTCTTTGAATATTTATGACCAGTTTTTATCTCATGCCATGCATACAAAACATACTTGGTTCCTTTCCTAAAAGTTTTTTCAAGTGCAAAGTTTTAAAAACATGTGGCTTTTATTGCAGGCAGGAATGAATAACAGCATTCCGCCCATAACCACATTAAATGGAACAGTAATATTCATATGCGTAAGGGCAAAAGCTGCCTTGTTTCCTATTTGCAGCCCGACTCTGAAATTAATTAAGAACTAAGAGGATCTGACAGTCATTAGGATCCTTTAGGAAGGAGTGGAAGCGGCAGATGGGACCCGCGCTATCAATAGCGCGGAGGATGTGAGCGAGCCCCGAGCGCAGCCCGGCCGGGACAAGGAGGAATCGGCGCTGTCGTGACTTCACAGCGCTCGCGTCAATCGCACTCGTGCGCTCCGGACTCGCCTCGCAGCTTCCGAAAGCCCCGATCGCTCCCCGGGGGCTGCGCACGCCCGGCCGGCCCGGGGGCACCGCCACGGTGTGACCGGGAGGTGACAAATCCAAATCCCCGGGGGCAGAGGGATCGATCCTGGGTATCCTGGGGACACCGGGAGCGATCCTGGATCCCCAGGACAGCGGGATCCCCCAAAGGCAGAGGGATCGCTCCTGGATATCCGGGGGACACCGGGATCGCTCCTGGATCCCCCAAGGGCAGCGGGAGCGATCCTGGATCCCCCGGGACACCGGGATCGCTCCTGGATCCCCCAAGGGCAGCGGGAGCGATCCTGGATCCCCCAAAGGCACCGGGATCGCTCCTGGATCCTTCAAAGGCAGCGGGATCGCTCCTGGATCCCCCAGGGGGAGCAGGATCGCTCCTGGATCCTCCAGGGACAGCGGGATCGCTCCTGGATATCCCGGGGACACCGGGATCGCTCCTGGATGCCCAGGGACACCGGGATCGCTCCTGGATCCCCCGGGGGCACCGGGATCGCTCCTGGATGCCCGGGCCAGCCCAGCCCGGGTGTGCGGGGTTGGCTCCCGCAGCTCCCGCAGCTCCCGCAGCTCCGGCCCGAGCAGCGGGCACAGTGTGCCCTGGGGATGCTGGTGGAGGTGAGGGCTGGCACAAAACCTGCGGGGCTCAGATGGGGATGAATGGGAGCGCAGGCAAGCCCCGAGCTGTCCGGAGTGTCACTGACGGCGATTTCTCCTGCTGTAGACAGACGCTGCCTTTCACTCAGGTGCTGCCCAATGACACCGGCAGCCAGGTGGGAACCTCGGACTGATTTTCCCTGCTGGCAGCAGCTGAAAAACTCCGGCTGAAGCCTCGCTCCTGTTGCTCGGCTGCTGCCCCAAGAGAGGCTCTCAGCCCTGGATATGAACCCAGGGCTGTGCCCGCACACGAGGTGGGATCCCAGGGATGTCCTGGCTCAGGATCCGACCTCAAGCAGCATCACTGGGACTGGGGCTGAGCAGGGCCCACACTGCGGGACCCCCGAGGCCGGGGCAGCCCCCGGAGCCGTCCTGGATCCGCCCTGGCAGCTGCTCCCTGCCCAGGAGGAGATTTCCCTGATTTACGTCGGGGCAGCCGCTGCCCTTTCCTCGGCCGCTTTCCCCTCATTCTCCCCCCGAGCCCCGCAGTTTCCTCCCGCAGGAGCGCTGCCCCAGCCCGGGGCTGCCCCGTGGGAGCAGGGACACTCAGGGGTTAAAATCCGCCACCATCGGCCCCGGCATCTGCTGCTTGATTTATGAATGAATTGCACGCTCCCTCCCTGCGTGCTGCTCTCAGATCCCCTTCCCTGAGCTGCAAAACAGATCCAGACACCCGCCCGGCCCTACTGAGCGCCGAACTCCTGAGAGTTTGCGATGAATTTTTAATAGAAAGCTTCCTCCGAGCCTCTGCTCTCGCCGCTCCGCTGCCGAAACGGGCGGCTCTGCTGCTAAAAGAGCAGCTCAAACGAATTAAAAACTACAGAGGAGCCCGTAAGGGAAGCAATCCCAGCGAGGAATGATTTAAAGAGCTGCTGACCTCCCCGCGATGCGAACAGTAGCTTTGGAGCGTTTGTAAAGGGGCCCATGCAAATCCCGGGTCTGATACTCTATTAACCTCCTCGGGAGCGCGGGGAGGGCGGTGTTGGGATAATCCCCACGTGTCGACATCTCCTGGTTTGCGGAGCACCAGAGCAGCTGCATCCTGCTGTGTGGGGAAAGCAGAATTCAAACGAAAGCTCCTTCCTCCCCGGGCACAGCCCCGCGGGTCCCGAGCTCGGGAGCGGCTTTGCTTGGCCGGACACCCCTCGCAGCAGCAGCCACGGGGTTGGTTCTGCTCCTCGGGATGTCCCCAGACGCTTTTGGGGTTGTGGGCAGCCTGGTTTGTCGCAGCTCTGCGGTTTGGGTCTCATCTTTGCAGTGCTGCGAGTCAGCAGCTACGTGCAGGGCCCTGCTGTGGGTTTGGGGTGAGGCTGCACCCCGAGGGGAGAGCGGGGCGGGGAGAGGACACAGAGCGGGGACAGAGGGTTTGGGAGGGCGGCAGGACCGGGTACCCGGCACAGCTGGGGCTCCCTGGTGCTCGGAGGAATCCAGGTGATGCCTTCACCTTCAACAGGTGGCTCCCGGTGTCAACGGGGATCAGAGAAACGAGTGCGTGGCGGGGCTGTGACACCGATAAATCCGTGAAGGCGGGGAACCGCCGGTCCTGCTGCAGGGAGCACCTCGCTCCTGCAGGGACACAGCCCCAAATCGCCCCAAAGAGCCCCAGCGAGGCTCCCCCTGCCCTCCGCGGCCCCGGGTGGGGTGACAGGGGACACTGCCAGGGTGGGGCGGGGACAGAGCGGGGGTAGCCCCGGGGGGAAGGGGCAAGAGAAGCAGAGGAAGGGGCAAGAAAAGAAAAAGGAAGGGGCAAGAAAAGAATAGGGAAGGGGCAAGAGAAGCACCGGGGCGGGCAGGGCGGGAGGTGTCGGGATGGTGCGGGGTGTCAGCATCCCGTCCACCCCATCCCATCCCATCCCGTCCCGTCCCGTCCCGTCCCGCCCCGGCGGAGCCCCGGTGCCAACCCGCGGCCGCACGGCGGAACTGCAGCCGGGCCCCACCTGCGCCCCCCGGTCACCGCTCCGTGCCCCGCCGGGGGTACCGGGGGCACCGGGACGGGCCGTGCCCGACCCCCGGCAAACCCCGGCCCCGCCCGCAGCCCTGCCCCCGCCCCGGAGCTTGTGCGGGTTCCCCCCGCTGGCGAACGGGGGGCGAAAAGCAGAACGGAACCGGCGGCCGCTTTCACCTAAAAAGGGCAGAATTTGAGCGCCGGTAGCGCCGGGGCTGGCGGGGCTCGGGGCTGCTCCCGGCGGGCTCGATGGTCCCGGCGCGGGTCCCGGTGGTTGTCTCGGTGTAACGGGAGCCGCGGGCCGGTACCGCCGCTCCTCCGTTAAAAATAACGTGTATTTATTTATTGTTGTTGTGGCTTATTTCTGGAGGAGCACCGGGGGTTCTGGGGCTTGCAGAGCCCGGCCCGGGCTTGCCCCTCGAGGCACGGCGGCTCGTGGAGGAAAATGGTTTAGTACACAGGGAAAGGAGGATTTTCTGGTGTTGGGCTTTATTTCGGCTTGTTTTAAGGAAATTTGGGTTCCACACCGGGCAGCGCGGAGCCGGGAACGCCGCGGCCCGGCCGGCTCCTCGGACGGACAGTGCCGGTCTGCAAACACCGTAGGACCGAGCCGGGCATCGGGAAACAGCCGGGGAGCAGCGCGGGCACAGCAATCTCCTCCTCCTCTCCCGCGGTGCTGCCCCGGTTCGGGGCACCCACGGGGCGCGGGGAGCCGCCGCCTTCGTTGTGTTTGCTGCCGCAGAACCGGCGGCTTCGCCACGAATTTTCTCGCCAACGGATTCCGGCCGGAGCCGCCGGCCCTGCCCGCAGCCGCAGCCCCGGGGGCGCTGCCGGGGGCTCCGGGGGCTACGGGCGCCCCGAGACCGCCGGCGCTGGGGCGGGTCACGGTTTTGGGGAGGGCAGAAGGAGGAGGTTTGGGAGCCGCGGTTTTCAGCGCAGCCCGACAGGCGAATCCCCCGCCGGGTTCGCGCGTGCCGGTGGTGCCGGTGCTCCCCGCCGCTGCCGCCGCTCCGGTTCCGCCACAGCGGGGAGGGTGCGGACGGCCGCGGGAGCGCGGGGCTGCGGGGCCGCGCTGTGTCCTCAGCCGCTCCGCACGGCCGCGGCTCCGGCCCCAAACCGGCCCCACCGCACCCCAAAACCTCCCCGGCGGCGGCGGCGGCGGCCAGAAACCACCGGAGCCCCGACGTGCGCCCGCCGGGGCGTGTCCCGCAGAGACCACGCCCATCACGCATAACCACGCCCACTCCGGTACAAACCACGCCTCTCTGCTCATAGCCACGCCCTCCGCCCAGAGGGAAAGGACTGATGGGCGGGGCCAGTGCCTGTCGCGGGGCTCCTATTGGCGGAGCGGCCCGTCCGTCACGGCCGCCCCGCCCCGCCGGGGCCGGCAGTAAATACGGTACCGGGCGGCGCGGCGGGGCCGGCAGCGGGGCTGGGGCTCGGCACGGGAGCCGTCACCGGGAGCGGCACCGGCACCGGGCACGGAGCGCAGCCCACCCACCGGCGGCGAGCCCCGGAGCCGCGCGGGTCCCGATCCCCCGAGCCGCCGCCGCCGCCGCCGTTCCCCCCGCGCCGCCCCGCCGAGGACGGCGCTCCGCCGGCACGGAGCGAGGCAGCGCGGGGCTCGGCCGCCTCCGCCGCCGCCGCCCGCCGAGCCCCGCCGGGTGCCCGCCCGTCCCGCCCGGCTCCGCGCCGCCCGCCGTTGTGATGCGTATTCCCGTAGACCCGAGCACCAGCAGGCGCTTCACTCCCCCGTCCACGGCGTTCCCCTGCGGTAAGATGGGCGAGAACAGCGGGGCGCTGGGGGCCGCCGCGCCGGGCGCCCGCGCTCGGCCCGAGGTGCGCTCCGTCGTGGATGTCCTGGCCGACCACGCCGGCGAGCTGGTGCGCACCGACAGCCCCAACTTCTTGTGCTCCGTGCTGCCGTCGCACTGGAGGTGCAACAAGACGCTGCCCGTCGCCTTCAAGGTGAGTGCCGAGCCCCGACGGGACCGAGCCGCAACCCGCTCGCCCTTTCCCCTTTAAACCGCTCCTGACATCGCCGCCGAGGGAGCCCGGGTTATTATTTTTAATCAAACAGCCCAGTTTATTATTTTTAATCAAGTCTCCGCATTGCCCCGCGGTCACGGCATCTTAGATATTCCGTACAGTTAGGAGCTCTCAGGCAACTTTGAAGTTTAATGAGATGGAGGTTAATTACCTTCCTGGGAGAGGGAGAGCGAGGCAGGGAAGGCAGATCTAATCTGCCAAAAGCCGAGCGAAGAGCTGAATCCTCGGTGCGGGGCTGCGCTGCCCGGGCTCCCCGGGGCACCCCGGGCTGGGCATCCCCGTAACCCCCGGTCCGGCCGGGGGAAGCCCAAACGGGGCCGGGAGCGGGGCAGGGCGGTGCCGGCAGCCCGGGGGGATGAACGGGGTTCCACATCGGGTTCCCCCGGCTCCGGGGCTGCTCCCCGGGAGGGATCGGGGCCTTTCCCCGGTCCCTGCACCTCCCCGGGCCCTTCCCCGGGGCCGCCGGCCTCACCCGCGGCCGCCCCGCGCTCGGCACCGCTTGATTTTCACCCCAAATCCGACAAAATAAACGCGCAGACCCCTCCGACGGGGCCTGACCCCCCTTCACCCCCTCCCCGCCGATCCCCCGTCTGCTTTTAACCCTTTCCGAGCTCTTTTCCCCTCTCCGGTTTTCTCCGCCTCCCTCGGGGGCTCGGGCCGCTTTTGGTTTTGCTTTGGGGTGTTTTTGCGCGGTTCAGGGGGGAAGCGCGGCGCGGGTCGGCTCCGCTGAAGGTCGGTCTGAGGCTGAAATGCCCTGGCCCTGCCCCAGGTCGTGGCGCTCGGAGATGTCCCCGACGGGACCGTGGTCACGGTGATGGCGGGGAACGACGAGAATTACTCGGCGGAGCTGCGCAACGCCTCGGCCGTGATGAAAAACCAAGTGGCGAGATTTAACGACCTCAGATTTGTTGGGAGAAGCGGCAGGGGTAGGTACCGGCCAGGAAATGGTTGGCCTTTTATTTGTTTTTATAAGGGGGGGGGAAAAAAAAAAAAAGAAAAAGCGACGAAAAATATTTCTCTATTTTCTTATTGTTTTATTACTACATTTTATATTTTTAATTTTATTTTTAAATTTTATTTTGGTTGTTTATTTTAAAATTATTATTATTTTATTTTATTCTGTATTATATTTTATTCCAACCGTGGTTTCGTTGGCGGGAGAAGCCCCCCAGCCCCAGAGTGGTTCCCGAGGATGAAAGGGATGCAGGAAAGATGCGGGAGGGATGCGGGAGCAGCCCCTCCCAGGGCTCCTTCTCTGCCCAGGTGTCGGGAATGGGCGGAGCAGATGAAAAACAATTTAAAATACAGACACAAATATATCTAAATATCTCTAAATCTCTAAACACAAATAAGGCGGCCCCAGCCCGAACCTTCCCCGGTTTCTCCCATCACGCAGGAGGCAGCAAACCCCACCTGGCAGCTCGGCTTTAAATGGCGAAAATCGAGAGTTTAAAGTGAAATAACAGCGCAGGGCTCGGCCTGGGAGGGAGCTGCGGCTGCTCGGGGGGGATTTTTACTCAATTTCCCCCCGCTCGTGGCAGGGAAAAGCAGGACGGCAATTTGGCTTTTCCAAACCAATCCGTCCGTGCCACCCGAGCAGAGCGAAATAAATCCCCTGGAAATGTTGAACACGGAGCCCTGCCTGTACCTGCGTTTCCGAGTGTATAAATAGAATTTCAGCATTTCCTCACCAATGAAAACGCTGCAGATCGGAGCCCTCAGTGCTGCCTTTGAGCCCGAATAAGAACTCGATATTTTAATGGCCATATGGCAGCACTTTCTCAAAGGCTTCAAATGTATACACACAGTGTCAGATATATTTTGACTTCTCCGCATTAATTAAAAGCAGTGATGTTAGGAATTATTTGCATGTAATAACTGTTTACTTGTTCCTCTTTATGAAACTTGAATAGTTTACATTCTTTCATACATTTCCTTTTTCCTGTTGGCTCCTTCTCCATGTTGCAGTTTCTTTAAAACTCTCCACTTAACTGGTTGCAGGTTGATGGATGGAAAATGTTTTTCTTTTATGAATTAAGCTTTCATTTCTGTAATCAATTATTCTCTTCGGCTCTTTTCTTTCTGGTTGGGCTTTTTTTCCTTTTTTATTTTTTTTTCTTCTTCATCCTCGCACAAATTTCCGAACTGAACGCAGCCCAATCTCAGCGTGACTCTTGAATTCATTATTAACTCGCTTCCTCGCTTCCTCCGCACTCTCAGGCTCGGAATTAGCAGGAGTTGGGTCTCATGAAGCCCTCGGTGAATAAATTCCTTCCCCGCTGCCTCTAACGGGCGGGACTCGGGCCCTAATTATTTTAATTTTTTTTTTTTTTTTTTACATATTCGCGTGGGGTGAGGCTTTGTCATATTCGGAGAGGAGCAGCCCCAGCGGGGCTCCCTGAGGGCGGCTCCGTGGGGTTTTCTCGCCGTGCCGAGGGTGGATTTCACTCCCCGGCACGGGGAGGCTCTTTCAGAGCAGTTTGCTGTGAAAAATCATCGAATTTTTATTGAATTTTCATCCCGGGTGTCGCACTCGCTCTGCCTCGTTTGGCTCCATCCCCGACAGCCCGGTGCTGCTTTCATTTATTCTGGCAGAAATTCGGAATATTTCCCCATGTGTGTACAAATGTTTGTGTAAATCCGAAGGGAGGACGTGTGGATCGGTAAACACGGGTCCTGCTGCAGCCCTGCCGTGTGCCCGAGCTGCAGGAGCCTGCAAAATCCCTGCAGCCAGGCTCTCCTTGGGAAAACACCGCTTGAACCGGGCCAATTTGGGTGTTTTTAGTAAAAAAGCGTCAGGGATTATTCCTGGTGCTGTGAGCTGGGAAGAGCCGCTCCTAAATCCCCTTCAAAAAAATAAATTCAAACCTCCAAGTGCAAGGCAAAGATGGGAAAAAAATCAGATTTTTTTTACTCAGGTTGAGCTGTATAAAATGAAAATTGTCCCCGGTGCATCTCTGCCTGTTCTCCCGGCTGGAATCTCCCCCCGAGCATCCCCTGGAGCCGCGATCCAGCCCCGAGCCCGCTCTGCCGGGGCACGGCGGGGATGAGAAACCCCAGCCCGGCTTCCTGAGAAGGCGGGAAATGACTCAAAGCGATGCTGGGGCAGAATCATCATTTTCGGTTCAGGGCAGCTTTCTGAGAGAGGCACAACCGGCCCGGGCTGGGTTTGTGTCTGCGGCGAGGGATTCCGGAGCAGGGAGGTTGTTTCACGGGGAGAATAAAAAATTCAAGATTATAATAATAATAATAATAATAATAATAATAAATAAATCAGTATTAATGCAGTTTAAACAGGGGCACGGAGGTGTCGGGCTCAGCTCTGAGGTTCTGTGCCTCACAGCCGGGTTTTGCCACACGCTGCCTGCATTTATTTAGGGAATTTGAAGGGCTTCAAATTTCCTAAATGTTTACCCCTTCGAATTCCCTAAATAATTGCTGCTCATCCTCCTCACCCCATGCACTGGTTCTGTGAGGGTTTTTCCCCCAAACCCTCGGCGCCGGTTGTTTTTTATCCCCAAACCCTCGGTGCTGGTTGTTTTTTCTGGGATCCCCCGTGGGCTCATCCCGTCCCTGCAGGTTGGCAGCAGGGGCTGCGTCCTCGGGGATTCAGAATGAAATAATTCTATTTGTTTTGCCCTCCCAAATGTCCTCTCTGTGCAGAAAATGAGCCGAAGGTTTTTGCGTTGCTCATTCCTGGTTTGAGAGCCGAGGTGAGGCGGGGATTGGCGATCGCTGTCGCTTTAGAACCCGCATTCCCTCCTTTCCGTGCTCACCAGAGCAGTTCTCCCACCTGGGATAATTCCAGGATGTTCTTCGGGAGACAAAATTTCATTTTTTCGGTTTATTCCTTTTTTTTTGCTCCTAGCTGGATAAATCCTGTTTAGTTTTGCTGTGGATGTTCTCAGGTCCGACCCGATGGTCGGGGATCCGAAGACCCCCGATTGCTCCAGGGGAAAAGGGAAAGGAGGCGGCTCCTCACTGCTTTTATCTGTGGAATAAAGGCTGGAGGAGCAGAAATCCATCGCAGCGAGGTTTAGACCTGATACCCAGCCGGGGTTCAGGCCTCTGACACCTCGGGAATCCCGCAGGGCTTGGTCAGAGTGGTTTGCGCAGCCTCCAGCCGAGGGTTTCCTGAATTTGGGGAGCCCGAGGGAGAACTGAGGCCCTTCCTGGGGGGTTTCTGTTCTGCCACAGCCAGGCTGGGACAGAGGGGCTGGGGTGAAGCTGCTCAGGCTCTGGGAGGTAAAAAGATTGGGGTCAGGGTGGGCCCAGGGCTGGTGACACCCTCTGATGATAAAGGCAATTTCAGGCTGTGGATGGAAACTTGTTCTGCTGGGGCAAGTGGGGCTCTCCTTGCAAAATTTGGCTTCCAAGAGCTTTTCAATGCTTCATTCCTTTTTTTTTTTTTTGTTCTGGTTTTTTTTTGCATAGAAGGTGACAGGTTGGTGCTTCAAAATCACCTCTGCAATCCTCCCTGAGGATACCCAAACCCTTTCCCAGGTTCCAGCTCTCTGTGGGCAGGGCTGAGGGACATGGAGAGGGGACAGTCCCTGCAGAGCTCTCTGTCTGCCGGCCGGGTTCAGTTCCCATTTTGCAGTTCCCGGTTTTTGGCCCTCCCGCGGGTTCCCTCATGGCACAGCTCCCTCCGAGTGGAAACAAGAACAGGATCGGGCCCTGGATCCCTGCGGGTGATCCCGGCTCCATCCCAAAGGAGCATCCCCGAGGGGATCCCGCACCCAGAGCTGACCCAGGGCTGGGTCACCGCGGAAAAGGGGAAGGGTCCGAGTGGGAAAACCCCCGGGGCTGCCCTGGATGGAGGGGCCGATACGGGGACAGGGCAGGGCAGGAGAATTGGGACTTTTCCTTGCGGCTCCAGGGCTGTGTCTGGGCACTCACGGCTCGTTAAATGCAATGATGTGTGCGGGATTCCTGTCCCAGCCTCTCTCTCTCACAGGAGCTGAACCCATGTGGGATCCTCACCTCTGTTTGGTTTTTTTTTCCCCTCCTTCCCCACCGTCCTTAGGGAAAAGCTTCACCCTGACCATCACGGTGTTCACCAACCCCACGCAAGTGGCCACCTACCACCGAGCCATCAAAGTGACCGTGGACGGGCCCCGGGAGCCCCGCAGTAAGTGAGGGGCTGCTGAGGGGCTGCTTTGGGGGTCTGGCAGCGCTGGTCATGGTGGGGAGGGGGTGCAGGGTCCGGGCTCTCCGTGCCTGAGGGGTGCAGGGTGCAGAGCTGGCACACGGAGCTCAGGGATGGCGTTGGGGTGGCACCGCTGGCTGCTCGGATTTTCCCGTGTCCCTCCCTGCTGCCTCCTGCTCCTTATCCCATCATGGAGGGATGGTTTATAGCTCCCTAACCCACCATGGAGGGATGGTTTATAGCTCCCTAACCCATCTTGGAGGGATAATTTCACACCTCCACGTTGGGATGTTGGGAAAACTCTTTAGGCTTCGATGGCAAAAGTTCCAGGCCCAGCCTGGCGCTGCACAGGGGGACTGGGGGGTTATGAAACCAGGGATCTGTGCTCGGCTTTGGGGGCTGATTGCTGGCTGATTACACTACAAATGCTGCAGGTTCCCCGGGTGCTGAGGCGGTGCCTGTCCTGGCACAGAGCTCCTTCCCCTCGGCTCCGCGGTGGTTTCGCTTTCGGGCTCTCAAAGGCTGGGGCTGGCAGCGCCCGCGGCCGGGGGCTGAGCCTGGAGAAACCAGAGAGACTCTGCGACCGCAGAAGCGTCTGTGTTGTGCTGGGGAGGCTCTCCCGGGGGCAGGATGGAGCCTCGTGGTTCAGGGAGGCTCCGGGAGCTGCCCTGCCCGGCTGCCTTTCGGTGTCGGGCTGCTCGGAGCTGCCTTTGGTGTTCCATCAGCCCAGGGACCCTCTCAGGAGCTGCTGCCCGCAGAGTTTCCTCTGCCTCGAGGGTGATTTACCCTGTGGGACCCTCCTGTGTGCTGGGATCCTGTCCCTGGGGGCTCCATCCCCAGCTTTGCCTTCCTGCTGGCCCAGCAGCACCCCGGCACTATAAAGCCCAGTTTGTTCCCTTTGCGTGTCAGGCCGTGGTGCCTGCAGCGAGGGGAAGCAGTTTGATCCTTCAAAAACGCCTCCAAAAACATTTTCTGTTGATGCTGTCGCCGGGCCATCGGTGCCCATTGATGTCAGGCCAGGTGGAGGCCGTTCCCTGGGCCAGGGGGGTTTATTTGCATCGGGCTTTGGAGGATTTTCCCCCGTCATTGATTTTATTTTGGAGCCTGTCGAGGATGGATTTCCTGCATTCCAGCTTCTAAATCCAACGCTGCTGTTGTGGGGTTTTTTTTTGAAGCCAGAAACATCAGGCAGGTCCCTGGTGCGGGGCACCTGTGGGTTGTGGTGGGTGCTGGGGCTCAGCCCCAGGGCTGGGCAGGGAATTTCACAACTCTGCCAGGAGTGTCAGGAATAGAAACCAGCCCTCCTGACTGCTGGCTCAGCCCCTTATCAGCTGCATCACATCGCCTTTCTAATAATAATAATCATCATCATCATCCTCACCATCAGGAATACATAAATAATAATACAAGGGGAGATAGTTGCTACTCTTGGAGCTCGGTTTGGCCTCCCTGACAGCCAAACCCAGGTGAATCACACCCGTTCCTCCTGAATTTCAGCATTTCACCCCAGAGCTCCCATCCCTCAGCTCAGTTTTCTGATATGGAGGCCGTGGCAATCAGGGGATGGAGCAGCTTGTGCTGGCTCTGCTGTGGGGTGCCCTCCCTGGGACACAGCCCAGCTGCAAGGACAGCATTTTCTGGAGTTTTCTTTTTATTTTTGTGATAATTTCTGGACCTCAAACTGTGCTGGAAGTGTTGGCTCCTTGAGGAGATCTGTGTGGGGTTTGTTTGCTGCTTGTGCCCTTGCCTGGTGTGGGCCCCAGAGGTTGATCTCTCCCCCATCCCTGCACCCCCCAACCCATAAATCACTGATAGAAAAGGTTTAGCCCCAAATTGTGGCTATTTTCGACTTTTATTCAGGAAATCATAGATTTATTGGTCACGTTTTGGCTCCCAGTTTGACCCTGGTGCTTGAACCTATGGTCGATGAATTTCCAATGGGAAAAAAATATTTCTAAAAGAATTCCCTTCTCGCCATACTTCTGAATGAAGATGACAATTTCTAAAAATAATGGAATAACACCTTTCTCCCCTTCCTGCTCTGCAGAAACCCTGAGTGTGGAAGCAGCAGCTGTAAAATGATCCTGGAAAGCTGAGGTGCTTTTCCTGGCTCACCTGCCACTGGGTGGCTCCCGGGCACAGCACCCTGGCAGTGCCAGCATTGGCATTCGGGGCTGGCACAGCCCTGGGGATCCCCACCTTGGGCCAAACACCGAGGCTGGGGCTGCTCTGCCTTGTTTGGCTGTGGGAGGTGAGAGCAGGAATTGCAATTTTTATTTATATTTATAAATACTATATACACTTTTTAACATATGTATGTTAATATGTGTAGGCATAAAAATGGATGGAATTTTTTTCCCCTTCTTGGCTTCAAAAGATGGGCCCCGGTGTGTGCTGGCTGCTGGTGTGGGGATCAGGGCTGGAGGCTGATGTGGGGCTGGTGGAGAGGACAAAACCCATCCTTGACGTGGAAAGAATTGGCCATTTGTCTTGGTACCCTGGGAAAGGCCCGGGCAGCGCCTTCTCAGCTGCAGCAAATCCCTCCAGCCAACATCCCTGTGGGCTCTGGGGCCGGGGCTGTGGCTGGGCTCCACCTCTGGGCATCCCATTCATCCTCCAGCCCTGGCCATGCCTTTATCTGAGCCCTTGAGCGAGGCTTTCAAGCCAGGCCGTGCCCAGCCCCAGCTCCCGAGGGGTCTGGGGGTGATGGGGATGGCTGGGGGGTGCAGGGGGAGCAGGGGGAGGCTCCTTGGGGTGCTATCAGTGGTGGTATCAGTGCTGCTTTTCCTGGAGCATCCCCTCCTCAGGCTCCTCCAGTGCCCCGCTCGCTCCGAGCTCCTTTTCCTCCTGCTCCAGCTCTTCCTGGGTTGGATCTGGACAGCAAGAAAAGGGACATTCTGTCAAGTTGGCACCTCAGCTCTAAACAAATAGCACAGCGGGTGCCAAGTGTTGACATACTTTGTACAAACAGGAAGTAATAAAATATTTGAACTTCCTGTGGAATTTCCTTCTTTTCCCCCACCCCGATTCTGCAGGCCTGCGTTCAGGCTGCAGAGCCCTCTCGCATCCACAGCTGCTGCAAAATCACCCCCAGCAGGCAGAACGTGGGGAGATGAAGGGCTGGGGGCTGCACAGGGGTGTTCAGTGTGTTCCTGGGGAGAAGGGAGCATCCCCAGGGCCTCCCCTCACACCCACCTGCTGCCCTCCCTTCCCTTCCCCTCCCTTTTCCTTCCTTTCCTTCCCAAGACTCTCACCTTCTCTGCTCTCACTTTTCCTTTCTCCCTCTCACAGCTCCAGCCCCTTTCTGCCCACAACTCTTGTGCAAAGTCTTTTTTCCCCCTTTTAAATTCCTTTTCCCCCCTCTTGGACTATTTTTTTTTTTGTTTACCATTAACTTTCCAAATCGCCCCACTCTCCTCTCCCCCCACTTTCCAAATCCCTTTTTTCCAAATCCCCCCACTCTCCTCTCCCCCCACTTTCTAACTCCCTTTTGTATTTAATCCTTTCTCTCTGCCTCCCACCCCATTGCTGCTGTCCTTGCTGGGGACACCAGGAGGATTTGTGGGTCCCTGTGTCCCCACGTTCCCTGCTCAGCCCCATGGACGTGCTGGCTGTTGGTGCCTCCTGCCCTGTTCATTTCTGGGCTGTGCATCACAGATCTGGTGCTTTTGCTCGTGTCCCTGCTTGGTGTGACCACAGCAAGCGACACAAACGTGTCCCCAGGGCAAGGGGGGACAGGACAAGGGGGTTTGTGGCCACAGCACTCCACATCCCCTCTCCCACCTTGTCCCCGCAGTATTTTCTAGCTGAGCCCACCCTGCCCAGCCCCAGGCTCCCCCTGTGGCTTTTCCCTGCCCAAAAAGGCTCCGAGCCCCCCGGCTGTGGCTGTCCCCGGGCTGTGGCTGTCCCCTGGCCCTGTCACGTAGCCGGCGGGTGGGAAAGCTTCTCACCTCCCCCGAGCGAGGCGTTTCCAGGAACCGCCGCTGCTCTCGGGCTCTGAGGCTGCTGAGAGCTCAGCTGAGAGGGTTTCCCTCCCACGGGAGCTCGCAGCGCTGCGTTCTGAGCTGGGAAATGGGGGTGCTGAAATTCAGTGGGGGGTTTGGGGTGTGCAGAAATTGAATGGGCAGTTTGGGTAGTGCAGAATTAAATGGGGGAGTTTGGGGGGTGCTGAAATGGGGGCTTGGGGTGTGCAGACATTAAATGGGGGGTTTGGGGTGTGCAGAAATTAAATGGGCAGTTTGGGGTGTGCAGAATTAAATGGGGAGTTTGGGGTGTGCTGAAATGGGGATTTTGGGGTGTGCTAAAATGAGCACTTTGGGGTGTGCTGAAATGGGGGCTTGGGGTGTGTTGAATTGAATGGGGAGTTTGGGGTGTGCAGAAATTAAATGGGGAGTTTGGGGTGTGCTGAAATGGGGATTTTGGGGTGTGCTAAAATGAACACTTTGGGGTGTGCTGAAATGGGGAGTTTGGGGTGTGCAGAAATTCAATGGGGAGTTTGGGGTGTGCAGAATTAAACTGGGGAGTTTGGGGGGTGCTGACATGGGGAGTTTGGGGGGTGCTGAGCTTTGTAGTTTGGGGTGTGCAGAAATTGAATGGGGAGTTTTGGGTGTGCAGAAATTAAATGGAGAGTTTGGGTAGTGCAGAATTAAATGAGGAGTTTGGGGTGTGCTGAAATGAGCACTTTGGGGTGTGCTGAAATGGGGGTTCGGCGTGTGCTGAATTGAATGGGGAGTTTGGGCTGTGCAGAATTAAATGGGGATTTTGGGGTGTGCTGAAATGGGGAGTTTGGGGTGTGCAGAAATTAAATGGGCAGTTTGGGGTGTGCAGAATTAAATGGGGAGTTTGGGGTGTGCTGAAATGGGGATTTTGGGGTGTGCTAAAATGAGCACTTTGGGGTGTGCTGAAATGGGGAGTTTGGAGTGTGCAGACATTAAATTAGGAGTTTGGGACGTGCAGACACAAGCAGTTTGGGATGTGCAGAA